TTTTTTTTTTTTTTTTTTTTTTTTTTTTTTTTTTTTTTTTTTTTTTTTTTTTTTTTTTTTTTTTTTTTTTTTTTTTTTTTTTTTTTTTTTTTTTTTTTTTTTTTTTTTTTTTTTTTTTTTTTTTTTTTTTTTTTTTTTTTTTTTTTTTTTTTTTTTTTTTTTTTTTTTTTTTTTTTTTTTTTTTTTTTTTTTTTTTTTTTTTTTTTTTTTTTTTTTTTTTTTTTTTTTTTTTTTTTTTTTTTTTTTTTTTTTTTTTTTTTTTTTTTTTTTTTTTTTTTTTTTTTTTTTTTTTTTTTTTTTTTTTTTTTTTTTTTTTTTTTTTTTTTTTTTTTTTTTTTTTTTTTTTTTTTTTTTTTTTTTTTTTTTTTTTTTTTTTTTTTTTTTTTTTTTTTTTTTTTTTTTTTTTTTTTTTTTTTTTTTTTTTTTTTTTTTTTTTTTTTTTTTTTTTTTTTTTTTTTTTTTTTTTTTTTTTTTTTTTTTTTTTTTTTTTTTTTTTTTTTTTTTTTTTTTTTTTTTTTTTTTTTTTTTTTTTTTTTTTTTTTTTTTTTTTTTTTTTTTTTTTTTTTTTTTTTTTTTTTTTTTTTTTTTTTTTTTTTTTTTTTTTTTTTTTTTTTTTTTTTTTTTTTTTTTTTTTTTTTTTTTTTTTTTTTTTTTTTTTTTTTTTTTTTTTTTTTTTTTTTTTTTTTTTTTTTTTTTTTTTTTTTTTTTTTTTTTTTTTTTTTTTTTTTTTTTTTTTTTTTTTTTTTTTTTTTTTTTTTTTTTTTTTTTTTTTTTTTTTTTTTTTTTTTTTTTTTTTTTTTTTTTTTTTTTTTTTTTTTTTTTTTTTTTTTTTTTTTTTTTTTTTTTTTTTTTTTTTTTTTTTTTTTTTTTTTTTTTTTTTTTTTTTTTTTTTTTTTTTTTTTTTTTTTTTTTTTTTTTTTTTTTTTTTTTTTTTTTTTTTTTTTTTTTTTTTTTTTTTTTTTTTTTTTTTTTTTTTTTTTTTTTTTTTTTTTTTTTTTTTTTTTTTTTTTTTTTTTTTTTTTTTTTTTTTTTTTTTTTTTTTTTTTTTTTTTTTTTTTTTTTTTTTTTTTTTTTTTTTTTTTTTTTTTTTTTTTTTTTTTTTTTTTTTTTTTTTTTTTTTTTTTTTTTTTTTTTTTTTTTTTTTTTTTTTTTTTTTTTTTTTTTTTTTTTTTTTTTTTTTTTTTTTTTTTTTTTTTTTTTTTTTTTTTTTTTTTTTTTTTTTTTTTTTTTTTTTTTTTTTTTTTTTTTTTTTNTTTGACTTTACGAACATACCCATTATTAAAGACGTCGATACAAAAATGAAAATTTGTGAATTGGCAAAGAAGTTTGATCTACCGGAATTGTCGGTCAGAACAATTATAAAAGGCAAAGAAAAAATTCTCGAAACTGTGAAAAATGCTCAATCTTTAAATTCAAGCATCATTCGTAAACGTCACAGTATTATCACTGAGATGGAAACAATGTTAAAATTATGGCGTAATAATACCCTGTAATATGTATAAATTATGGCGTAATAATACCCTTTACACCTAGTCTCCCCCCCTGTATTGAGTATCTCCCCTGGTCATTCATAAAACAAGATAAAATAAATAAATTGACTGGCCACCTTGCAGATATGCACAAATTAGTTGTTTCAATAAAAATGTTACATAATTAGATTAAATTTCTAACATTTATGTTGTGGCCACATGTCTTAACCAGTGAGTATCTCTTAACTTAGAATGACCTATAGAAAAATCACAGAAAAGGTAAGTTATAATTTCAAGAGAGCATTACCTATTGGAGTCCTTAGAAGACCTCATTTAGTATATTAAAGGTTAATATATTCAATATTTAACTGACTTTAGATATTCCAACTGCATTAAAAAGTGTAATTTTAGGATTAAATCCATTTGTTAAGGCTATGATTCCAATTAAAGATGTCTGTAAACAAAATCCTCCTATATGAATAATTTGATAATTTGTTATTTTTATTCTTTTGTAGTATATTAAAGGTAAGCTCAATTTATATAAAATCAAATGAGAATAAATATAAACATTTTGATAAATTATCAAAAATGTTTGCTCAGACTATTTGCAGTAGTGCATGTTGCAAGTTGACTGCTTGCAACATGTACTACCACAAATATCTGTTTAACTGCATAAATATATATGAAATCTCAAACATGGCATTGAAATGATGGTAGATCATGCTAAATATATAGTACCATCTAGTTATAAGTTTTTTTTTTTTTTTTTAAATTATGAATCACTATTTGAATGCCATTATGTTATATTAATATGTGATTACAAATATAGTGGGTGATCAATTAACTAACATAATTAGTTCCAAGACCATGTTTGCTACCCAAATTGTTTGTTAACCGGAGTATATTCTATCCCCCTTTGGGATGACACATTTAATAATAGGTTAGTGTATGTGGGATCAACCAAGCGCTCCCTTTGTAAACGTCTCCAGGAGCATAAGTATGATATAGATAATAATAAGCACACCATCACCCTTTCAACTGTAGCCACAGAACCTGAAATAAAGGTTGATCTACAGAATGCCCGTCTAATTAGGCTATCACACCGTGTAGACCAACTAAGGATTATGGAGACCTTAGAAATTTATAAAGCGGGATTAAACAACACATGTATTAACTCCAAAGACACAGTCAACATCTCTAGTGCATAGAAATTTTGCTATGAAGGAACAACCCATAATTGGATGTAATATGGATTTATTACAAGCGCAAATTACGCAAGCTTTGATGTCATCGAAGCAAGAGTGTGGTGTTCTATATTTTTGACATTAACGTTGACGTTCTAGGATTTGAATCGCATTTATTCGGTTCCTATTCGATTTTGTACTGTTTGAATTTATTATAACAGTGGCCTGAAGAAGACCCTGGTAGGGTTGAAAACGTTTGCCAAGAAGAATAACACTGGAAATTGAAAGGTTTTTATTCAAGTGGAGAGAATTATATTACCTCTGGTATTAGAAGTGAAGTTTATTAATTATTATTATTCCTCATGTGTACAGTACAGCTTATAAACAAGAGATTAAAAATTGTGTTGCCATTTCCTGTTTAGCGAAAACAAGCTTCTGTAGATCTAATTATTTTATGTTGTTAAATAAGACATTTCTTCACATTTATTTTCACATTTTTTTTTACATACTATGTCCTCACAAGCAAATAAGCTTCGAACATTACTGCGGATGGACAAAAAGACAAGTCCAATATGAGTTTTCATGTGACTTGTCTTTTTTGGGTAGCATAGTGGCAGTGTTTTATTTTTTTAATTGTTAATATTATGGACAGTTTCTTCATGTGCTCATGTTTGCTACACTTCAAATATCAAAATACCACCAAATTTTACAATAAATATGAAAAAATAAAACTTTTACTTAACAACCATGCAGAGACTATTTCACTAAATGGAAAATGGCGTCACAATTTTTAATCTCATTTTATAAGCTTTAAACATGAGGAATAACAACAGTAATAATAATGCTAATGATGCAGTAAAATAATGTTACACACAAAAAAAAATAAAAAAATAAACTTAACTTCCAAAGGTTCAAAACTTCATCGTCTAGTTCAAGTGCCTAATGTCTCCTCATCCACTCAGCTATCACTGCTTACAGATGTGAAACTTTCAAAGACTTAGGGTCAAGTTATAAACTCTAACGTAACCGTATCCATAAATGTTTGCACACTGGATATCTATAGCAATAGTTATAAACTACTGTAAGGCCTTTTCCGTAACAAACTTTTTTACGGTTTATGAAGCAGTCCATCATGAGCATGTGCAAAATCATCAATAGTTATTTCCAGATCTAATACTATAATTATTTATTCATTTTATTATTTTTATATTTTTTTTACGACCAAAGTAATTCTTATCTTAAAATTTTATATTATTCAGAAGCAGCACTGTCGGTCAAAAGTTATGTTTCAATCAATTTGTCAAAGTTTTCGTGGGTTGCTTCCAGCACAACTTCCAATTGAATTTTTTCAACTGCGACTTAGCACATGCACAGTTGGTCAATTCTCCATATCCCTACCGCAAAAAGTTTGATTGATCCAAACTTTTCTTACGGAATATGGTACAGCCATACAGATACAATAGAGAGTTTATAACCACACTATATAGATACGGTTATGTTATGGAGTTTATAACTCCATAACATAACCGTATATATATAGTGTGGTTAATATATATATATAGTATATAACCCTTATAAGCTAAACAGTAAATTTTCAGAGATCCATTTTTGGGAAATGCTTTAGAAATGGATCCTATTATTTCGACAAGGAGCTGTTTCTGTTTAAGACTGTGTGTTCACCAAGTTTCATTTGAACTGGAGACCCGAATGTCTGACCCTCTCCTTGTAGTTACAAAGAGAGGGCCAGGCATTTGGGTCTCCAATTCAAAGATGTCAAACTGATAAGACTACCAGCACACACATTAATTAGCAAGTAAAACTGTGACGATATATAATTTGAAATGGAGGAAAAAAATTTAACACTAGCAAATGGTTGGTAATATTTTAAAATTTTCCAGAGCAACTCCTGCAAAGTATAAAAAAAGTGTGTTCGTTCTACATATTTGACAAATATTCAAATAATTAAATAAAAACGTTTTTTAAATTTAATATTAAAAAATCCATACCCTAATTCTAATTACTTCAATAATGTAAATAGCAAGACGATGGTTTGAAATCATTAAAAATACGGAAAACACTGAAGATTAAAAAAGCAACAATTTACAATTATTATTCATAGATTAATTTTAATATTTTATTCAAATTTCTCGTATATTCATTTAATGAAGTTAATCTAAGCATTATTCTTTTATTTCTCGATATAAAAAACCTTGCAAGTAATTTGGCTTTGGCAGTGTGGAAGTCAAATTAGGCTTAGACATATATGTTGAAATTTTTTATAACGAAAAATGAAAGAACAAATTTAATGCTATATATTAATATATATTTATAATATATTTCGCTTTACCTTATTAATCGTTGATTTTATATTTATAGAACAATATGGCGCTTATAGAACTTTACTTCAACACGTGAAGAGACCGAACAACTATGGAGACTGAAGCGAGTCAACGTTGCCAGCTGTTTTTAGTTTTTGTAACAAAAATTTTCTAAAAAGTAGCCCAAAATAGCCTGCTCAGAAAACGACTCACTATTTTGATAAATAACCTAATTTGATGATAAAATCACGAAACACACCTTTCGTGCTTTTCCATCAATAACTTAAATCAAAGAACAAACGTTTTCGGCACAATTTACGATCCTAGAAATTCCCAAATGGCCGAGCGGTCAAGGTGGCAGCCTACGATTCTGGGGGACCAGGGTCTGAATCCGAATGGGTTTCGGGGAGTGGACCGTTCGGATATGTCGCACTCCGTTCCTCAGCACCCGGCCGCCCCATTGTGGGCCTGACCGAATCCATAATTGGCTTGCAAAAAGAGGCCCTCTTAGTGCCCATAGGGCGGAAAGAGTTAAAAATAAAAGGGCATAGAAATTGATCCGAAAATAAGGATCACAAGACTGAAAATATGTATAAAATGAAATTCACTGGTATGTCGAGAACATATACAAAGAATCATGCAATAAATAATCTCGCTAAGACGGGCTTTAAAAACGAATTTTCCGAAATTATATAAACTTAAAAATTAAAATAAAATTAACTATAAAGTTAATAATTAATTTCAATTGAAAATTAATTATGTAATATTCTTAATAACTACTAATTTGTTTGATGCTTAGTCTGAAACCGTGTCTTCTTTTATTTGTTTTCTTTGTCACAGCTAGGTGCCACAAGATATTTCTGAATAAAGAGTGATGTCAAAGATGCCCAGTGTTTATCTATGCACTTAGTTGTCCAAAAGACTTATCAAACCACAGTTATTTAAGAAAGCTGAATAAAAGATTTCTTTATTAATACCTAGCATCTCAACCTCTTATATATCGCCGTTCCGAGGAGACGCGACATTTCCAGAGTTATAATTAAACATTCAATTTTCACGGTTCCTTTTTCAGAAAAGCTTGAGAAGTGGGTCCTATTATTTGAACAAGGAGCGGTGTTTAGGGCTATATGCTTAACAAGTTTCGTTCAAATCGTAGATCTGAACGTCTAACTCTGTCCTTGTTAGTACTCACACAATGGAAAGAATAAAAAAGAAAAACCACAAACAAAATATAAAGATCAGAGACATTTTGTATATCCATATGCAGTGTTTTAACTACAGTAACCTCATCCCAGAAATGTCGGATGTCGTCCCTCCCATTCGATTGTTCCATTATGGACCAGTCAAATTGACGATGAGCCCAGAAAAAGAGGCCACAGGAAGGAAAGCGTAAAAAACTGATAATAAGATATTTATTTACAAAACTTTGAATTGGAACAAATAATCTGGATTGTTGAAAACAATATAACTCTTACCATATACAGTATTTTTCTCAGAAGACAATAAAATTTTGTCGCAAATATATGTATTATAAGCAATACGGAGCTCCAAATTTCGGCATGATCTTTATTGCAAGAGATTTATTACAATTGAGAACGATTAAGGATAAATGTTATTTTATCTTTAATTATATTCATACTAATGACGACATTTTAAAACATTAGGATAATAATTCAATCGCATGTTGAACAATTATAGAATAATTCACTCTGAATACGTTACGAACACTTATCGGTATTAGAAAATATAAATAACTTACATTGTTTCACACTTCAGTTATCTGAATTATATAAAATCAACACACATCTAGCCATATACGCTAAGAACATAAATGCGTAGGATACCAAACGCAATATTATTCGGAAGTTAGATTAGATACACGCTGTTTTATCTGTAATTGGGAATATTTCGTGTGGTTAAAATATATTAATAAATAGTTAAACACAAAAATAGGAAGTTATTACATCGTCATTAACATTTAAAAATTTATTGCATAAATTAAAATTGATTATAAAATATTTTTATATAGTGTTTTTTTCTTTTCTGAAAGAGAAATTATCATGTGATCACCGTTATGTTATGACAGGATCGAATTGGGTGGATATAAATAGTCGACAACTTCTCCATTTAGGAAGAAAGTTTTAAGTTTTATCTTTGGTAAATATTCATTAATATTCGACATTTTGTTACATAATGTTATAGAGATATGGGAATATAATGGAATTTGACCTTTCGTTAAATTTTCCAGAAAGTTATGTAATATTAATTAAATACCAATTTTTCTATGCGAAAGTATTTCATTTCGATAGAAAATTTAAATATTACTTATATAATTCTATGTTTTCAATAAAATTTAATAGTTTTNTTTAAACTACTTATAGTTAATACTATTCATATAATCATAAAACATTTATCAAACCTGTAAATCAAAAGTTGACTTAAAAAAATTAATTGTCATGAAAGACAATTGGAATGTATTTTTTTTCAAACTTAAACTGCTACTATTAAGATCAAATAATAAATTTTACTATCCAAAATTTAACATGTTTAGTAGAAGCTTATAACAGAAATAGTATTGGATTATGACCTGTATACTTTGACAGCCATAGCATTGAAACAATCTTCTAAAACTACAAGGACCAATCTGAAGACAACGCGGATGGTTAAATCTTTCCTGGCAACAAATCAGTTAAATCTATTGGTTGCTGATAAAGAAAAACATTTTGTTCTACCAGGGACGTGAAGTCGGAGTCGTGGAGTTTTGATGTTTTAGCCGGAGTCAGAGTGAGATGGTAAGGAAAGGTCTGTAGATTTTTACGTGACTTCCACAGCCCTGGCAGGGCTGTTGAGTCAGAATCGGAGTCGTGGAGTTTTGGTGTTGGAGTCGAAGTCGGATGATAAGGAAAAGTCGGAGTCGGTAGATTTTTACGCAACTACACAGCCCTGTGTTCTACGCAAAAACCAGGATTTCCTAGATAGAGCCAAAGAGTTTCTTGAACATTCCAAATCCATCATACTAAAACAAGACCCTATTTCCACTGTGTTAAGAAAAGCACGCAAAGTTATAGCTTTGCCTGGAATAGTGGAATCATTGGGTGGTCCTCTCAACCCTCCAAAGAATGTCACCTGCCCTAGATTATTTTTTGAGGTAAAAATGCATGAATCTTCCTGGCCACTAAGACTATTAGTCAATAAAAGATCCCATCCCACGTACCATCTCGAGGCTGCGCTAGCAAAGCATATCACTTCTTTGATTCCGCCTTCTGAATTTGTAACACCTGCCTCCATTGAAGCTAAAGTTACCATCTTACAAAAATTAGGAAACCCCCCCTCTAATTCCTACTGACTTTACAAAGTATGTCATTTTATTTCCACTTGTTCTGCATTTTGAGGCAGTCATGCTGGCAAATACCCTATTCTTCAATTCTAGTCACCCAATATAACATGTTCTACACTTGCGAGAAGCTCTTTTTCTTGTCACTCATAATAATTATTTCCAATTTAATGGAAAAAAATATAAACAAATGCAAGGCGTACCAATGGTTCTCCACTATATCCTGTTTTAGCTGAACTGATTATGAGGAATATAGAATATCGAGTTTTTAATGCCCCTTTAACTATCCAGTATACTCTCATGTATATAAGTTACGTCGACAATGTGTTAATTGCATGGGACGGCTCCAATGAGGGTTTACAACAATTCACGCAAATGTTAGCCTCCATTTATCCTTCAATTAATTTTACCATTGAACAGCATAAAAACAATAGAATCTTCTATTCCTGGATCTAGACATATGTATGTCTCCGGAGCTTACATTTATAGTACATCATAGAAATAATAAAGCATCGCAAATCATACCTGCTACTGCTTACCAGCCATCAACTACAAAAATTCTGCTATTTCTTCTCTAATATGGAGGGCATACATTCTTCCTTCTACTCAGTCACTAGTGGAAGATGAGTTATCTATCATTTATAATGCCATGTTAAATGCTGGTTATTCATGCTCTAAATTTACATTTCTTCAAAACCATGTTAAGAATAAATTATTTCCGCAATCTTTTCTTTCTAATAAGAAAAACCTAAGAATAGCACATTCCCCAATACCCTATTTAGGTCCCATTTCTTTAAAAGTTGCACATATATTGGATTATGCTAAAAACATTCAAAAATAACAATATTAGAATATATAAGCAACAACAACAGCTTTATTTAGAACAACATTAGATGGAACAGTATCAACAAAAACCACTGATACATGTGTGAAAAGATATCACGTAATCTTGCCTTTTGCAAGAGTTAATAGAGGAGCTAGAAGAAGAAATGTGTCAAGAGATATTTGACGCTAAGTTAGCAATGTTCAATATTCATTGCAAAGACATCATTGGTATTACAACAGATGGAATTACAGTAATAAAGAAATTTGGTTATTTATTACTTTTAAAATTTATTAATTATTATTAATTCATCAGATGTACTGTGTTCATGAATACAACTGCCATTGTCAAAGTTCTTTATGGAAAATTTATCTTTCCAGAAGTTGAGTAGGAAGATATCATGGATTCTGCAAATGATATTTTGGATGAAGAAATTGCCAATATTAATTTCATAGATGTGCTGTTGTATGTTTTATCTTGACTAATTACTTAATAGCAGATTTAGAAAATAGTAAAAAAATGTTTAAAAAGATCAGTCAGAAAAGTGTTTTGCAGGTTTTCTAATATGCGTTTTTTTTGTGCTTCAGTCCATAATGGTATCAAATTTTGTGTATTTATTGGAAAACAAATAAAAAATCAAAACCTTGTTTATTCTCTTTTGCACACAATGCCAAATACATTTCTGCATAATCTGATTACAGTTGGCTCATCGATAAAATGAATTTTGCCACTGACCTGACAAAATGCCATTCTCACAATGTTAATTTTCATGCATTAAAGCAAACAAAAGTTTTACCAGAATTCGTTAAGCCAAACTTAACTTACTTTCACTAAGAAATAAACCTATTTCCAATAATAACTACTTTTTAATTTTTCAATGTGAACAATAAAAAGTGGTAGTGTAGTAGATATTCCATTTTGAGTAAATAGATTTTCTCTTCCTATTAAGCAAAGATTGGTTCAACCTATGAGTGTAAAACTGTGAGAACCCAGAGTTCAAATTAAACTAAATAATAATATAACTTTATCAGCAGTGGTATTTGTCAACTTTTACACCTGGGAGCATGTTCTTCTACATGTTTTCAGTGTCAAAAGAGACACTTTACCATGACCTTCTGACATGCTGTCCCGATTTTACCAATTTAATATGACAACTAAGGGCCAGCTAAGTCAGTCATCACCAGTTCCTCAACCAAGCCAATCATTTTACTCTATTGTTGGATACATCGTCTTTGTTCTATTAACAGATACTTCAGCAATTTCCTCTTGCCTATGGCCATATTATCTACTGTTGACCTCCAGAATAAGAACTATTGTCGAGAACTTTCCTCTTACTGACCCAACTAGCAAGCATTAGTTCTCTAGAACTCCTCTACAAGGAGTTCTAGGGGAATCCCTAGAACTAGTTCTAAGTTAGATCCCCTAGAACTCCTTGTAGAGGAGTTCTAAGGATCTAATGCTTGCTAGTTGGGTCAGTAAGAGGAAAGTTCTCGACAATAGTTCTTATTCCGGAGGTCAATGGTAGATAATATGGCCATAGGCGAGAGGAAATTGCTGAAGTATCTGTTAATGGAACAAAGACGATGTATCCGACATTACTGTACGCAGGAAAAAAGGCACTTGTGCTGATTAGGGGGTACAGCTATTTGAGAGGTTTTCTTCCATAAATTAATCAAATCTAGACTAATTTCACTCGAATATTTCCAAAATACATACAATTTGTTGGAAATGATCAATATAAAATATGCTATGAACAAAAAATTGTTGGAATACTTATCGAGTGTACCCGTTCAAAGACGCCATTGCCCAAGCTTGTTTTCATCGTGGAGCGTCACATTGGACGGCGGACGCGTATGAAGTGTGTCACGTGACATTTTTCGGGGCTATTTTGTTCACTTGACCACTCATCTCTGACGTGTTCCTCATAACTTATTCTTTTTGTGAAGAATTTGCTGAACTTTACAGATATCACACGATAGATCATAATATACTATAGATTTTTATTGTAATTAGAAATGACTAATTATTATTATTGACTATATGAAGCAACAAAGGAAAAACTGCTCGCTAATGACAATAATGCTATCATCATATATACAATAATACAATAGGGAAAAGGAAGAAGGCCGTACTCGTAGGTGTAGCCTTTAATGAAAGGAAAATACGAAGGGAGAGAATGAGAGAAAGATTTGTAGCAGAGACCAAGAGGGTGAAAATGTTGAAGAGTGGAAAGGGAAGGGGAAATTGTGTGCCGCATGGGAAATTTATTAAAATAGAACAAGTTACAAAATATAAAATTCTGAATACAAAATACATAGATACATATTAATAACTGATGCTAAACATAAGATAGGCGGCAGGTAATGGAATACACCAAAAAGTAATTTGATTACATAATTGTTAATTAGAATACAGAAAAATACATACAGAGGTAAACTTAGACATATACAAGAGATTATGATAAACGTTGTGGATACATTAAAACCAAAACACGATATAACTACTCAGTAAAGAAGGAATATTAGTAGATGGATATAAACAGAATACAAATACAGCGCAAAACAGAAGTTAACAACATTGCAGATAACAGTATTAAATAGTAGACACACAAACACCAAACCATTGTATACAGAGCACCACTTTGAGTTGATAAGGAGAGTGATGGAACCTAATCCAATATTTTAATGTTCTTTGCGAAGTCCCTAAGAGCTTTGAGAGTGTTTTTGTAACTCATCATATATACAGTAATACCCCAACTTGCACGATTTTCAAATCTCGTTGATTCGTTTTTTGTTTGAGCACCACGCAACCCTTGATTACTCACTCCCCCCACACTATTGTTCAGCTTACATGTTTGGATGTGTCACGCAGAATCCACACATAGCTACAATTTATTTTGTGTTATTTATTTCTGTGTTTGTTATATCTATGGAGACTTGAGAGACTCTACTACGTCATCCAAACGAAGTAGAACTAATTCTTCTGCATCAAACAAGAAAA